ATTATTATTATTATTATTACTATTATTACTATTACTATTATTATTATTATTATTATTATTATTATTAGCCCCATCCCAGCTTGTGCCGGGCTTTGGGCGATGTACAGCAAAGGCATCAGGTCATTAATTAAATATAAAAAAACATTTTAAAAATCCAGTTCTAACAAAATTAGAATGACAAATTTAAAAAGCAGGTTTAAAAAGTTCCAGACGGCTTCCTTAACATTTCATCCCAGTTCTGGACTGCCTGGCCATTTTCTGGGCACGGGGAGAGGAAACACGGGATCAGAATTTAGGGGGAGGGGCAAGGGAGATGGTGGCAGCCACGATAGAAAACCATCGCTGTCCTCAACCGAAAGCCTGGTGGAACATCTCTGCCTTACAGGCCCTGCGGAATGGCATAAGACCCCGCAGGACCTTGATGGTATTAGGCAGAGAGTTCCACCAGGTTGGGGCCAGGGTTTGATTCCCCATTCCTCCGCATGCAGCGGCTGGGTGACCTTGGGTCAGTCACAAGTTCTCTCAGAGCAGTTCTCTCAAGAGCAGTCCTCGAAAGAACTCTCTCAGCCCCACAGGGTGTCTGTTGTGGGGAGGGGAGGGGAAGGGAAGGTAAGCCACTCTGAGACTCCTTCGGGTATAAATCCAAGCTCCTCCTCATCCGAGACCAACAAGATTTTGGGGGGTTAAGCAGTCAAAGCTCCCTTTATCAGCTTAAACCCCCAAAATCTGGCAACTGGACTTCTTGGCTTTGACTCTTGAAAGTTGATACCCTGAAAACCTTGTTGGTCTCTGAGGGGCTAAAAAGGTAAAGGTTTTCCTTGTTCGAAAGCCAGTCGAATCCGACTAGGGGGCGGTGCTCATCTCCATTTCCAAGCTGACGAGCCAGTGCTTTCCAAAGACATTTCCATGGCCATGTGGGCGGCATGACTAGACGCCGAGGCGCACGGAACGCTGTTACCTTCCCACAGAAGCGGTGCCTATTTATCTGCTTGTGATTTCTTGCTTTCGAACTGCTAGGTTGGCAGGAGCTGGGGCCCGAGATGGGAGCTCACTCCGTCACGCAACACTCGGGTCTTGAACTGCCGAACTACAGACTTTCCGGTCTGCGGCTCAGTGTCTTAACCTCTGAGCGGCCCAGGGCCCTCTCTAAAGGGCTACTGGACTCCAATCTAGCTCTTCTTCTGCAGACCAGCACAGCTACCCTCTGAAACCATCCTACCATTATGTAGGGCTTAACTTCTGATGCGATGGGAAAAGAACGACTAAATGAGCCAACAATTTAAATTGGACTTCAATTGTTGTGCTTTCCAGGTCAGCCAGGAGTCATCGGAGAGAAGGGGCTTCAAGGAGATCCTGGCACAACAGGCGTGCCAGGGAAGGACGGGGATCCCGGTTTACCTGGCCAACCAGGTATGATACTTTGCTTTCTTCCCAGCATAACTTCTGGCTACAGCCTCTACAGCTGTTCTACGTATCAGTGTTAATAACAAATGATTGGCACAGTAATAAGATAATACGGAGAACAAGAAAAACTGTGAAAAAGTGACGCTTAATATATCTCTTTAAAGAATCATGGAAAAGTGAACAAAAATAATATACATAATCAAAGAAAAATATATTGACGGTGATCTCCGGAATGTCTTGCCGTTTCGAAGGAAGATCTTCTTCTGAACAAAGATGTAGGACAAAAACTTTCTCTCAGTTCATTCATATCCTCATATCCTCTGGTGACGTTTCACAATTATCAACCTGCCATAAGCTAAGATGATTGTAATGCATTACAATCATCTTAGCTTATGGCAGGTTCTACTATACATCACTATACATCACAGGTTCTACTATACATCACAGCTGTTGTGAATAATTGTGAGACGTCACAAGATGATATGAATTAACTGAGAGACAGTTTTTGTCCTACGTCTTTGTTCAGAAGAAGATCTTCCTTCGAAATGGCAAGA